TCAGCTGGCTGGGGAATTCTGGGAGTTGAAGTGCACCCATCTTCAAGTTGCCAAGGTTGAGAAACACTGGCCTAGAGGACAATTGCACAACTCATTCATCTTAATTAAATTGAAATGTAAGAGAAATTAAATCAATGTGATTTTCAGTCTTGGCCCCAATGGCTCTGTTTTGGAATGTGGGTCTAAGCATGAATTTCATCCCCCCACCCCAAGCGTCACATCCCTGATCTGGCAGTTGGATTCTGTGTCAGGTATCTCTAAAACCAGCCTTAAGACACCCTTTAATTTCTTTGCAAAGTTATACCAGGCTGGAGTTCTTTCTGGTTTGTAGTGAAAACACAAAGTACACGAAGTACACAAAGCCCAGCCCTGAGGCTTCTTGGTAGTCTCCCATCGAAAGAGTTTTCTTTTTTTTCCAAGCCAATCAGCTTTTTCCAGATGGAAGGAACTTACTGGGTTTCAGCACCCCAAATCTGTTTACAATAATTTTATGGCTTGCTTTTCTTCCTGTCGTTTAATGTTAATACGTTAATGGCTTTAAATGGCCGTCCCTGCGCAACTAAATGAGTTCCATGCACGTTATCTGCTTTCAGACAAGGTCCCAGAGCAATGCTTCGCACTGCAAAATTCACATCAACAGCATGCTGGATTCAGTCATTGTGAACAGCCGGGAAAGCTACATTTTCCTCTGCTGATTCAGCATAAGGCAATGGTAGATTCAGTGTCTCGTAACTGGCAGCTCATTTTAGTCTTATTTATCCCCCTGTATATATCGATGGACAGCAACCGCTGCTTTTCACTGAATTATTTGAATATTGATCAGCGTCTACAGTAAACAACGCTTGGATTGATCGTAAGATATATCATGCATCAAAAAAGGAATAGTTGTCTCAGAACTAAAATATCTGAAATATTCCCCGCTCTCCTCCCCCGCTTCCTCCTCCCTGCAGATGTGAAGCCCTCCAATATCCTGGTAAACTCGAGAGGAGAAATCAAGCTCTGTGATTTTGGGGTCAGTGGACAGCTGATTGACTCCATGGCCAACTCTTTTGTGGGAACGCGATCTTACATGTCGGTAAGTGCAGGCCATGAAGTAGCTGTTGTTGAATTTAGACGTGATAAAAGCTGATCAGCGTCGTTCAGTCCCTGGTGGAGTCCATTTTCCTTGCCTGGTCAATGCACAAGGGCTTTGCACAGGAGCGTGCAACAGAAGGGCGCCTTGTCATTTCTGCCCAGTGCTGTTCTTTGGTGCACATTATCAGAGATGTTGCAGAGGCTGCCCTTTGGGGGACTGATTTTTTCTTTTGGAGAGTTCAGTTGCATTGAGGGAGGAAGCGTGGGGCTGAAGTCCAAAGCTTCGTGGGCTGATGAGCACATCTGGAGTTGGGACCAGCTGGTGGCTCGCTCACAAAATGATTATTATGGGGAAAGATCTCGCCTTCTCACAAAGTGGCAGCCACGGTAGGCATGGCCAGTCGAAAGAAAACACATGAAGAGGATGCTTCTGCCGCCCTCCCAAATTCCCTTTGGAGGGATAGGGATTGGGCACATTCAAAGCACTAGGTTGCCACCAGCCACCATTTTTCCCCCCTGAACAATCCGTGGGGGTCTCCAGGGGGGCCCAAGGTTCTCAGAAAGAGAGCGCTAAAGGGTCTCCTGGTTTTGCGATAGAGCGGCTTCCCATTGAGAAATTTAAAAAGCTTAATAGGAAATTGCAGTCTGGTGGGTTAGGGAGCAATGGATAGCTAAGAAAAGCAAGAAATGGATCATTGGACAAATCAACCCAGAGTTCTCACTCCAGGCGCAAATGGCCAGGCTCAAATTACCCTACCTTGGACACATTATGGAGAAGTCTATAATGCTGGGAAAGATGGAAGGGAAGGGAAGAAGAGAACAACTAGCAACAAGGGATGATGGCTGCACCTTTAGAAGACTTGAAGGACCAAGTTAGGGACAGATCAACTTGGAGAAGGTCTACTTCTGTGGTTGCCCAGAGTCGACACCAATTTGATGGCACTGAATCCAAGAGAAGTCTTTGTGGGCAGGCTGGTGCTGTGTTACCAGTCTAGATGTTCTGTGCCACGAAGGAACTAATCAAAACTAAAACGTCATGTGGGCCATTCTGCTTGGTATTTATGGAACCCTCAGCGCCACTGCTTATTGTAAGTTTTCAAAGTCTTGAGTCCGCACCATGGCCAAAAAACCAAAAGTTCGAAGAAGTGAAATCCAATTTCAATCATCTGTTTTTCTTCCTCCAGCACCCTTTCCAGGTTGTGACTGGATGGGTTTTTCCTTCTGCACCATACGTTTCTCCACCTTTCAGACTTGTTCTGTCATTGTGTCCACACAGCCAGAAAGACTGCAGGGGACTCACTACTCGGTGCAGTCAGACATCTGGAGCATGGGGCTCTCCCTCGTAGAAATGGCCATTGGCAGGTACCCGATCCCTCCGCCCGATGCAAAGGAGCTGGAGCTCATGTTTGGGTGTCCCGTTGGGGCCGACTATCCTGTCTCAGAGACGTCTCCCCGGCAGAGGACACCAGGCCGACCCATGAGCGGTAAGAGGGCAAGAGCTGGAAAGGCCACCTTGGGGACTGAAAAGGGATCATTCCTTTGAAGAGGGTATCAGTTTGTGAGCATCTGGTTTTTCAGAGACTCGGTGTGAATGTGACTTGGGAAGTGTTGTGGAAGAGGCTGTTTGGGTGGGTGGGCACAGGAGCTTGGGCCATGCCAGGGCACTCAAATCATTGCAGCCTGGGCTGGGGCAGAAGGGTTGGCGTTCAGGTCAGCAGCAGCTTCTGCAGAAGCATCTTCAGAGAAGCAGCCATTTCTTCCCACCTGCTGTGCTGGTTTCCCAAGGTTTTGCTTTCATTCAGGTAGCTCCCTGCATGGTTATAGTGCCAAGAGTTTCTGACAGTCTAGACCAGTATTTTTCAGATTTGGCCGCTTGAAGATGTGTGGATTTCAACTCCCAGAATTCCCCAGCCAGCACGTATGGGCTTCAACTCCCAGAATTCCCCAGCCAGCATGTTGCTGGCTGGGGACTTCTGGGAGTTGAAATTCACACATCTTCAAGTTGCCAAGTTTGAAAAACACTGGTCTAGATTTTGTTTTTAGCAAACGTTCATTGACAAAACTTTTGCTACCTTCATCGGCATTTCTTAAATAAGTTTCAACACATGCCACTAAACCAATTTTGGAGAGAAATGGGTCTCATCAGAAAGGAGAGGATGAAAAGTAAGTTACAAGCCAACATGAAGAGTGAAGTTAACTTTGCAGACGTGTTGTGATTTTTCAGCTTATGGTTCAGACAGCCGACCACCCATGGCCATCTTTGAGCTCCTGGACTACATAGTCAATGAGGTAAGTGGAATGGGGGTCTTCTGCATTTTGGGAAGTGCTTTTGGGTCACGCGAAGCATCTCTGCATCAGGCTGTCGTCATGGATTCCTGCACTGGATAGATGACCTCTGGGGCGCCTCCCGTTCTGCAATCCAGCCTGGCACTCAGAAGCCCCGGGTGCCATTTCAGGGGAATGGCCGGGATGTGCTCCCAGACAGCTTTGCAAGTGGATGAAATCTCACACGAGCTGAGCAGTCTCACCCGCGATCTTAGCAAATCCCATGCAAAAATGCTGAAAACTGGCCAGATCAGACGTCTTCTAGAACAGATTTCTGCTTGGTTGGTGGAAGTGAAGCGGCAGCCATGTGGCTGGTTCTTAAGAGCTCCTCTGGGGTCTTCCCACACCTCCTTCCAGGGTTAAGATTACATAGGGATTCCCAACTGTTTCCTGTGGGCATAAATGGCATGTTCAACACATTTTTTTCACCAGAAGCCCCCTTGTGTTTGTGAGAGCTCAAGAGTGGTCACCGTAACCTGCAAACAATGACTTGAGAGTGCAAACGGTGATTTCTAGATAGAAAAACAAGGCAGACGTACGCTTGCTGGTCTCAAGTGCATCCAAGCCCACTTTTGAAAAAGGAAAAGTTCCAAATGTCTTGCAGACCGCTCTGAAAAATCTTGTATTTGCCATTAGATCGGAAGAGAAATTGACCAACCAGTTCACCCGAGTTTGCTAAACAAAAAAACCGGGAAGACAGAGAACAGATGCCAGGCTGCTGCTGATGAGCAGATGAGCACCAATCCTTTGATCACTTTTCCGAATTTCTTTTCCAAAAGACGCATGAAGCGAGAGGAGAGATCCCATGGTGTGGCCCGTGAGCGAGTGTGCTCTGGGTCTGTCCCTTCAGCTTGGGTTTTGGAAGAGAAATCGCTCTGGGGTGATTGCCTGAATTTTCTTCATAAAGTCGAGGAAGGGAGAGGAGAGGAACGTGAGAGGCTGGGCACCGCTGGTTAGCCCATATTTGTAACGAGAACAAACTGGGCCACTTCAGGGCATCTTTGCCACCTTGTACTTGCACGTGGGCAGCATTTAATAAGTATCTTCTAGAGCAGGGGTGTCTGCAGGGTGTGGTCAAAAAAGTCAAGATGGCAGCTGCAATGGTGCAGTCAAAGCTCTGCCCATTTTTATGTGCGTTGCGGGCATCCCTGTTCAAGAGCCAAGTTCCCTTTTCATAGTTTATGCCTAATTTTCAAGCTTGCAAATCTGCCTGAAGGAGATACCAGTGGTCCTCGCCTAATGACCATTCATTCAGTGACCGTGCAAACTTGCAACAACACTGAACGAGGGGGACTAATGACCGGTCCTCAGAGTTGCGGCGGTGGCAGCATCCCACGGTCGCATGGTCACCATTTGGGACCTTCTTTGCTGGCTTCCAACAAGCAAAGTCAATGGGGAAACCGGCAGGAGGTTGCAAATGGTGCCCACGTGATGTCCTCGCTTAACAACCACAGCCTGGATTGCCAGAATTGCCATCGCTGTCAAGTGATGTCACACTTTATGACTCGTTGCTTAGTGACAGCAATTCTACTCCCAATTGTCGTCGTAAACTGAGGACTACCTGTAGATATGTATGTTCCCCTTTCCTTTGATGGGAATATTTGCAACGTCCCTTCTCCTGCTGCTACTGCCCTCGTGTACAAGGAAGAACACAAAGGTCTAAAGAGTATAACTGCACACTAGCTTTTGCACCCATCTAGACCAGATGTGCAAAAAAGGTATTTTAGGAGCACAGCTAAAAGTGAAGCAGCCTTCCCCAATCTTGCTGAAAGTCTTACTTTTCTAACGAGCATATTATCCGCAAAGCCTGTTTCCATGGCAACACTAAAGCCGGTGCTTGCAGGCTCAAAAGGCAGCTGATGCTGGCATGTAAAAGGAGTTTTAGAACAAGATGGTTTGTCAGCCCCTCTGTGCCAGAACAGATGCAGATTTAACTCTTTTCCCCTCCTGATTTTGCACGTGTCGATAACGCACATCTTTCCCCAAGGCAGAACAACCGCACTGCCTTTGGAACAAGAGTGGTGATGCATCAGGCTGACTTCATTTAGTTCTCGGTTTTCTAACCCTTTCGGAAGCTGCTCGGAGTCTTTGGAAACGGAGCAGCATATAAGTGGAAGTAATAAACAGAAGATTTACGTAATCGTGAATCCCGCAAGCTTCGGCCATTGCGCTGGGTTGCACGATTGCTTCCCTTTTAATCTTGACCCCTTGGTTGCTTTCAGCCCCCTCCAAAGCTGCCAAGCAGAGTCTTCACTCCAGAATTCCAAGATTTTGTGAACAAATGGTGAGTTCTGCTTCCGAACAGTTTCCTTTTTGGGTGAATGAAAATGCGGGGGGGGGGGGG